TTGCGAAGGGATAAAAAGTCATCTTAATGTTAGGGGTTTAGTACCTTTAAGTTGATAAAAATATAAATTGTTTTTATATTTTACATTAATTCGTGAGGATGTTCACATTTGAGTTTAATATTCATTAATTTGTTAAAAATATTTAATTATAAATTGAATTTTCGTTTTTAAATAAAAATAATATCAAGATTTTAAAAATTACTGTCCTGCGCAAAACGCGGGTACTACCTAGTAGTATATAATATTTTCAGCTTTATTGAATATTTCTTATTTGTTTGCTTTGTAAATATAAGATTTTCCGATTAACATATATAATCATACTGGAATGGATATATATGATGAACTATATAAGTTTTATGTTTACGATGAAACTATTTCACTATATATGACATGAAATTTAATTATTCTCTTACACTCAAAATAGTTTTTTTTTTAACTATGGGGTAATCCGGACTTATACCGGCCGACTAATCTTTCCATGGTGAGTGTAGCTGTCGAGTAGCCCATTCACCATTTTTTTTAATGGGTTTAAAACATAACACCATTTCGACTGACCAAATGATAATGGTTAGATAATTTCGCGTTTAAAAAGAATTGAACTCTGACCTAGAGTAATTCCTCTCAACGTGGAAACCACTAATCTATCACCACTTGGTTATACTGAAAATAATTGCATATTAAAAAATATTTTTTTGTGTTATTTGAATAAATTTTTTTTTTTTTGAAAAAGTTCATGAACTAAGTTTCAACTATGAGAAACCATTAAAAAAAAAACTCACAAACTAGCCAAAATGGGCCTATGTGGCGTTTATGAATTTTAATTTTTGTTATGGTTATTGAACCAACTAACCCTGGTTGATTTTTTATTTTTGTCGTAACCTTGGTTAATTTCAATAAGTTGTTTGGGAGGGATTCTACGTCAATCTTGTCATACCTACCAAATGTAAATGCAATCATGTTTAGAAAACATAATATATATTTTTTTAAATGAGGGTCGGTGTGACAACTTTTTGTGTTATAAAAGAGGATAGAGT